AAAATTGTTACTTATTGTTTTCATGTTTATTTTGATTCTGTGTCCCCATACATCCCAGGCTGGTCTTGAACTCATAATCTATTTTTCTCTGTCAGGCTACCAACGGCTAAGATTCAGGGTAGCCAGAATTTCTCTTTTCATTTCTTCTCCTTTATTTTTTTTTTTTTTTTTGGCGGCAGCGGCGGCGGCGGGGGTGGGGGGCACTTCTCAGTGTGTTGTAGATTATTCAGGCTCAGGTGCACAAGTGTCTTGTTTAAATTAGTGTCAGAGCATTGTTGATAATCTTGGGGACTGGTGCGCATAGGTGGCATGTGATAAGTAGGGTCACATTTGCTAAATGTCCAGTAATGAGACGCATTAATAGTATAAGGCTGAGTAATATCTTGACCAAAATGTTAGTGGCACCGACTTCTACTGAGACCTGAATCACAATCTGTCGCACCATAATGAATTGCTCCAGGAACTTAGCCTGAGCCAGTCAGTGCTGAGCATTCTCCTAGCCCAAAGTGACTGACTTGGGAGTAATTCCTTGGAAATTGTCCTAGTTAGGGTTACTATTGCTATGATGAAACACCATGACAAAAAGCAAGCTGTGGAGGAAATGCTTCATTTGGCTTACACTTCCACGTCAGAGTCCATCACTAAAGGAAGTCAGGACAGGAACTCAAGCAGGGCTGGAACCTAGAGGCAGGAGCTGATGTAGACGTCATGGAGGGGTACTGCTCACTGGCTTGCTTCACATGGCTTGCTCAGCCTGCTTTCTTATAGAACCCAGGGCCCAGGACCACCAGTCCTGGGCCCACCTACAAAGGGCTGGGCCCTTCCTCATGAATCACTAATTAAGAAAATGCCCTCCAGCTGGATCTTATGAAAGCATTTTCTCAATTGAGGCTCCCTCCTTTCAGATGACTGTAATTTGTGTCAAGTTGACATAAAACTAGCCAGCACAGAAGCATAGCCTAGATCTTTCCTTGACGGTCATAGAAGGGCAGCAGGCCAGGCCCTTAGCTACTGGCTGCCGTCTTATGATTGAGCAAAGGCAGTCTGGACAGAAAGTGGGCGGTGGATCTGAGAACACCAGAAGAAACAGAGTAGAAGCCGGGCGGTGGTGGCGCACACCTTTAATCCCAGCATTAGGGAGGCAGAGGCAGGCGGATCTTTGTGAGTTCGAGGCCAGCTTGGTCTCCAAAGCGAGTTTCAGGAAAGGCGTGAAGCTACACAGAGAAACCCTGTCTTGAAAAACCAAAAAAAAAAAAAAACCAAAAAAAAAACAAAAAACAAAAAAACAAAACAAAACAACAACAACAACAACAACAACAAAAAAAAACCAGAGTAGAACCCAGATTGCTGTTCTAGGTACTTTAGTATATGAACTAACAGAGACTAGGTGCCACCTACATCTACGAGGGGTGGGGAGAAGAGCCAGTGTCTATATCATAGCAGCCTTTTAGGAGGACACCCAGTGAGCAGAGGTGGAGACCCAGCATCTCTTCAGCCATCACTCATGAGCCATGCTGTGTACGCTGATGAGGTTTCCTCTGTCTGCAGGCAGAAATACCTTCTTCTTTCCCAAAGTGACCCTGTTTTGAGAGTGAGGACCGCTGGCCCCACGTAAGGGCACACCTGCTCAAAGCCACCAGTCATTTATTACCAGGCTGTTAGCCGTCAGGGGACAGAGGACTTGGGCCGGCAGACCTTATTTTGGAAGGAAAAAGTCGGAATTTGAATTTTGCTGCAGCATTGCATTTTTAGAGATTAGCAGAGAATGCCAAGGTTAAACCACATGTGTTGGCTGGGTGACCGTGGACTGTCCTTTGCTGTAGGGCCTAGAGTATGGAAGATGGGCGAAGAGGAGCTGAAGGCAGCGTGGGAGGGGCCGGAAGAGACATTCGGCCACTCCTCAGCGGAGCTGAAGGTCAGGCAGAGGAATCAGTTCTCATGGGAAAGGGGAAACTAAAGAGAAATCTAGTGGAGGATCCTGAGTGTGGTGAAAGGGAAGAAGTGGAGCTGGCCGCTCTCAGACTGGAACAGAGACCGAAGAGGGGTGTGGCACAGATTTGGGGAGATGGTCTCAGGAGTGGACAGTAGGGAGGACTTTCCAGAGGTCAACATCAGGGCAATGATAAGATACCACACCTAAAACATCTTCCCCTTGAGGCAAGAGAACCATGGTTCAGAACATTTGGAAAACAGATCAAGGAGAGCAACCAAATCACATGTCATTCCGGGGCCCTCTAACCACATTACTGTCCAACACACAGTGCACAGGCTCTCGGCCTTTTCGTGATGTGATGTCTGTCTTTGGGTGGAGCTGCGATGTTGGTGTCTGTCAGTCTTTTCATCCTTTGCTTGTGTCTCAGAGCCGCTCTGTTAGCTCTTTCAGTTCCCACTGACAGCTGGAAGGAAGACCACTTACACCTGACATTCTGAGGCTAGCTGCTTCCATTTTCCAGGATCACCCAGGAGGTAGCGGTTCAAGGCCCAGACCTTCCAACCCTGATGTGCTTTCCCCTGCTCTACCCTGTACCACACTGCTGCTGCTGCTATGAATGAATAAATAAATTCATTCAACAGAGGGACAATTCATGTCCACTTTATGTAAGGCATGGTGGGGGGGCGGGCAGGAAGAGGAAAAATGCAGCTCCTGTTCTGAAAGAACAGGAAATGAATTAAATAGAATATAATGTGGTCTACAAGTCAATGAAAAAGATGAGGATGAATGTAAGCTCTACATGGTCCACAAAGAAACACCCCAAGAGGAAATGTCCAATGAGTTTTGTTATTCATAATTTCTTACATCTTTGGGCCTCAGATTTCTAGGGCCTTTGGTCTTCCGGCCAGCATAAATTATTCATGGTGGAGCATGTGGCTGGATTGAATTTCTATTCTTTGCTGCAGTTCACCAAACAGAAAATATTAGACTTCTTGGTTATTGAAATTGGACTCAGATCTACTTCAGTATGCAGCTGGGAACCTTGAGGTCTTGGGTGAAAGGACTTGCTTGCCTCCTGGAGGCCAGATGCTAGTTTCTTTGTTTTCTCCATTGATTCCATTCCATCACCATAGGTTGCCTCCTGGCCTGCCATAATGGGAAGATCAATGGGGACCTGGAGATGGCTCAGTTGATAAAATGCTTGTTGTGCAAACTGGAGACTTGAGTTTAATTTTCAGAATGCACATAAAGAACATGCGTGTAATCCCGGCACGGGGGATGGAGATGGGTAGATTCTTGGAGCTCCCTGGCAGCTAGTGTAGCTGAATTCACAAAATCCAACTTCAGTGAGAGACTCTATCTCAAAAACATAAAGTAGAGAATGATTGAGGAAAACACTTGGCCTCCACATGCACATACATACATGTGGTACACACACACACACACACACACACACACACACACACACACACGTGGGAAAACAAAGTTGTGTATCCTGTAAATTGGAGTCTTGTTTTTTTTTTTTTTTGGTTTTTTGAGACAGGGTTTCTCTGTGTAGCTTTGTGCCTTTCCTGGAACTGGATTTGGAGACCAGGCTGGCCTTGAACTCACAGAGATCCACCTGCCTCTGCCTCCCGAGTGCTGGGATTAAAGGCATGTGCCAGGAGTCTTGATGACAATGGAAACCTCTGAGTTTCAAGACCATCTTTTGGTGGTAGGTTTAGAGTCAACTCTGGACTTACAATCTGAACTTTTGGCCCTATGGACTTTACAGAGCTAGCATACAAATGTCCCCTGATTTATTGTCCCCTTCAAAATCCCACATCTTTAGGTAAGGAAGCCAGCATGGATAAACTGATAGTCCATTCAATGCATAAAAGATAGTTTAGCCATCTTGCATTTAACAAAACAATTTTTTGTTGTTTTTTGAGACAGTGTCTTATGTAGCCTAGGTTGACCTTGAACTTGCTATGTAGCCAAGGTTGACCTTAAACTTGCTAAGTAGCCAAGGATGACCTCAATCTCCTGATTCTCCCTTCTTTCCGCTCCCAGATGCTAGAATTGCAGACATGTGTCACTGTGCCTGGCCTTAACAACAACAACAACAAGAAGCCGTTTTGATCGGTAGCTATCGTTTTCTCTCCTTCCTCTTCAGCTTCTCCCCCAGGGGCCACACAGCTGTCACCGAAAGCCTTTTTTTGAGGAATCTAAAACTCCTTGCTTGGGTGGCTCAGAAATTTTTTTGGAAGGGTCATGCTGTAGTCATCTTTGGCAGGGGGGTAAATAAGAAGGTATTTCAAGAGAGAGAAGGCACATTAGAGAGGAGGTGTCATTTAAATGTGCTTCTCTTGTTTATCCAAGATTGAGAAATAAGGCTAGGGAAAGAGAAGAGGCTGTTCAAGGTTAGAAGTCAAAAGGCCAGAGGCAAGGCAGAGAACAGGGTCCAGACGAATCCTATGGAAATGATAGCGCTGACAGCTTGTTCAAAGACTTGGTGCCTTTTAGAGGGAATTAGGCCAAATGTCTGCATCATCAAAAATGACAGTAACTGTTAGTGCTCTACCCGTCTTCTTTACTGTTCTTTTATTTATTTTTCATCTCTAAGCCCATCATCATCATCAGTATTGTCACGCTCATCACCACCGTCATCATCGACATCTCTGATGACACTGTGCACTCTGCCTGCGTCTCTTTGCTGGGGTCCTTTTCCTACCTCACACTTTAGGGTACTAAGGTCGCCATGGCTATGTTTTGGCTTCCCCCATTCTCCTCGGATCCTTTAGCAACAGCACCCACATGGCAAAGCTTCATAAGGTCTTAGTATGGTCCTTATCCTGCCAGAAAATTAAAAAGGTGGAAGTGTGTGATAAGAGGCAATGTGGACCACTGAGGCAGAAGCACTGGGACCATGTATGTCTGCAATCTGAAAAACTGCATGAAGAACAAGGGCTCTGGATTTTGATGTTGGATCTATCAGTAGCCATCCTTAGAAGCTTAGATTAAATCTCCTCATGACTCTGAGCGTCAGGTTCCATATCTTTCAAGTGTACCTCTTGTGAACTGAAGGCCATACTGGATAGGAATGAGAAAAGCAAATCTTTCACATCTTGTGGAATATTAATTAAAGATGTGTTGCATTCTTTTATGCTACGGAATATTTGTTTAATGATGCAAAGATGTGTTGCATTCTTTCATGGTACATTTGTTTAGCTCTGTGAAGCTGTGTTACTGTGCCTGCCAAAAATACCTAATTGCTTTTATAAAGAGCTGAATGGTCAATAGCTAGGCAAGAGAGGGATAGGCAGGGCTGGCACTCAAAGAGAATAAATAGAAGGAGAAAAAGAGAAGAGAAGAGGATTGAGAAAAGAAGGAGAGGAGGATGCCAGGGGCCAGCCACCCTGCCAGACACAGAATAAGAAGGAAAGAAAAGGTATACAGGAACAGAGCCCAGAGACAAAAGGCAGACAGGGTAATTTAAGTTAAGAAAATCTGGCTAGGAACTAGCCAAGCTAAGGTCAGGCACTTATAAGTAAGAATAAGTCTCCATGTGTTTGTTGGGGAGCTGGGTGGTGGGCCCCCACCATAAAGAGTAAAAAGAGTAAAGAGTGAAAAACAAACAAACAAACAAACAAGAAATAACTATATCCCCAGCAGGTTGTGAGTTTTCTAATCACACACATCAGCAGCCAACTTCCATTTACAGCTTCAACTTAGCAAGAAAGGCTTGATCTGATTTAACTAATTCTAGCTCACCCCTTTCCATTTTCCTGGGATGGGGATGGGAGGTGTAGGGTATAATGACACAACAAAGGATTGACTTTTCAAATGGCATTGTTCCTGTCTTTAGATGAACATTAGATTACTGCTTTTGTTGTTGCTAAAAATGCATTACTTAAAAATATATAGCCAGGTACCAATAGTATGCCAGATACTATGATATGAGAAGGGTGGACAGTAAGAGACTGTTTCTATAGGTGAGCTCACAGTGTCTTAGCAGAGATTAGAAAAACTGTGACTTAATCCTTTGTGTCTCAGTTTCTTCCTCTTGTAAATAAGGCTAAAATGATAGCCCACAGTATTGTATTTGATGCTTAAATCCATTGCTGTATGTAAAGTATGTATAAAGTGCCCGACATACAGAAAGTACTTAATTTTCATCAGTTATTGAAGATCTCTGGTTGATCTGGTGGACCTGAGGACTGGCAAGTCCAACGGGTAGGAGGGGTACTTTAGGAAAAAGAGGCAGGCGGGAGCCCAGGCCAACTGAGAGTCGTGGACATACATGTGATGACAAGGTCAATGGCTGCATTTGATCTATATTACTTAGTAGGGTAGGAGACAGACCAAGCAAAACATATTTTATGCTTCAGACCTTTCAACTCATATATAGTGTGACTCCATTTTAAAAAACAAATATTTACACAAGACTGTACCCTCTGGTGTTCATTTAAATGATCTTAGAATTTCAAACATAAAATTAGGTGGAGACTCCTCACACCTATGACTTTTATGTGTTTTATGGCTCTATGGGTTTTCCAAAAAGAAAACCAGAACAGAATTTCAAACAGAATACAAACAAAACTAAGAGAAATCAGAAGGCTGGAGAGATGGCTCCGTGGCTAGGAGCTCTGGCTGTCTTTGCAGAGGACCTGGGTTTTATTCTCAGCACCCACAGGTTAGCTCACAACCGGACTCTTTCAAGAGTCTGGCTTACTTTGCTAAACATAACCTCCTCTATCCAGCTTCATCCACCCCTGCAAATGTCATAATTTAATTCTACTTATGAGCTGAATAAAATTCCATTGCATATATGTACGTTTCCTTATCTGCTTATCTGTTGATAGAGCTTCTGGCTTGCTCCATACCTTGGCTACTGTGAGCAATGCAGCAGTAGACACGGTTGTGCTGAAGTATCTCTGCGGTGAGCTGATTTAGAATCCCTCCACTGTACAGTCTCCTGGAGTTCTTTCTAAAGCATATATTTCCAGGGGCAGCCCAAACATATCAAGACTTGTCTCACTGGGTAATGGCAGATCACATGAGCCTCTGATATACACAGGGTAATTTTTTTTTTTTTTATCTGCAATCACATGCTGTAGTGGGCATGCTGTCCTGTGTCAGAGTGGAAACCCCTGTTTCCCCACAGAGGTCTTATGTGTGCCAGCCTGGTACTTGGTCAGCAGGGTCATTAACTCCTTATAGCAGACAGCAGAGATCCATTAGCAATATGCTCTGTCCTCATCAGACTACACAGAATTTAACTTCAGACACAGGGGAAAAACCTCCATCCTTGCCTGATAAACAATTATCTCAGACCTCCCACAGAGCCAGAAAATGAGTAAATTGTGTGCCTCATATTTTTGTGTTTCCAAATATGGGGACGCATAATGATTGTGTCACAAACATTAATTAATCATCCCATCTGATCTCCTTTGCCAGTCCCCATGTGGGTCCTTTGCACTCACTTTCCCCCCTATAACGCTAATGGAAAGGAAAACTTCCATTCACCCGGTGTAAGAATTACCTACATCTTGCACTTTTAAAAAGCCAGTATAACAACGTAGAGGTCTGCTGTCTTTACCACAAGCTGAGACTGCTTTTACGTTTCAGAACTACTCTCTGAGAGATGCAGGGATATTTCTTAGGAGACAGATGTCTTGTAATTAAGGATTTATTTCTCTAGCCACGGGCTGAGTTTGTGAGGCCCGCAGAGGGGCTAGCCTGCATTCGCTGCCCACGAGGTGAGGAGTCTGTGGATATATTGCTAGACTAAAGTTTTGGCCAGTACCTCTGGCCCCTCCCTCGCTGTCTTTATGGAATCACAACGTCCTGGAGCTGCCTAAGTTCAATGGCGAGGCCAGTGTTCATGGTGTCTCTGTTATGAAGACCTCTCTGCGAGAGATTCTTTTAGTTAAAGGCGTTTCATCCTGGGGGGAACGAATTGAAAATATCTTACTAGGAAATCATTCAGCGGGAAGCCTCGCTGCATGCTGAGCTGCCAAGGTGTTTCTTGAGCAAACCATGGAGCAACTGAAAAGAACATTTTGTGTAAACACCAAGCAGGGATTCAGAACACCCAGGTTTGTGAATTTTATTTTCTAAGAGGTGGAATGATGAGCGAATTAAATAACTGGTTTGTGCATTTCTCATATGAGCAATAGAGGATTCAAGATAGGAGGACCCACTTTCTGTTTACCCAGGGAGCCTTACTCTTTGTGGGAGAGATATGAATTATAGCACTGGTTTGTTATGCTGGAGAGAGGGGAGGCTTACTGAAATCATCTGGAGAATCTCCCCCAACACCCAGATTCATTTTCTTCCTTCCCTGTCTGTTTATCCCAAGATACCACGCTGGTCTGGACCCCAAGGGAACATACTATTATAGCTATACTGGGACATGAGATTTGAGGACAACACCCAACTTGGAGTTCTAAAATATTTCTCCACCCCCAACTTATACATCAATCTCAAAACCCATTGAAGATAAACATGGCGGAGCGGATGCACACAAACACAGAAAGCCTTCTCTGGCCCCACGAAAGAAAAAAAAAAGAAGAATTTTTATTTACCGACCTTTCACAGTTAGGCCCAGCATAGTTTTCTTTACAAATACACCGAACAGCTCCGTTTTTCCTGTAGCAGGATTCTGCAAAGCTAGAATCATGAGAGATATTAGACGTCATTCCATTACCACTGATTTGTAGGCTGACTTAATTTTGTTAGGTCATTTCTACCTGGTTACTCTCCAACAAATGTGATTAAATTCTTACCCTTCAGAACAGACTCCACCACAAGCCATGGGGGGCCATCTCCCAGGTATACCATTACATATCTCTATATAGAGGTGGTTTATTAGTTTTGTCTGAAACAGCAGGTATTTCTAACACAGCTGATTACATAATACCAATGTATTCAAATATGTGTATATAATATTTACCTTTTAAGTGCAATTCTAAAATATATGCCCAAAAGACAGAAATAGAAAATTGACTGGTAACTTTAGACTTGTACAGAATTCTCTCCTATTTCCACCACTTTTAGTGTATACATTGAATGTTTCTTCACAGTTTTTCTGAACTCAACCTCTGTTTTTAAAGATCATGAGCGAGCCAGTCCTAAATGAGATAATCCAGAAAGCCTTAATCTTTTCTTCTATGTACCTTAAGTTTTTGGACTAAGGGTGGAGGGACTGGCTGAAGTAGATCAAAGAGCCAAAAACAAGTCCTCAATAAAGAAATAAGGTCCATGGTGTATACATACACACACACACACACACACACACACACACACACACCATGGGAATTCCTTTTTTCTTCTTCTTCCTCCCTTTTCCTCTTGCTTCTTTATGTCTTAAGTTAGTAAAAATTAGGACATAAAATAGAAATGTAATAATAAAAAATATTGGTCCAGCAGAATAAATACCCATCCTAATTTATTGAGGCAGAAAAAAAAAATGGAGTGTTACCCTTTCAGGTATGGCAAATTTCCCATTGACACACCAGTTGTGTGAAGTGTAGGTGTAACGTGTGTGACTTTTACACTACTTTGGGCTTCTGGACTGTGCGATCAGAGATCAGTGCTTTCATCTTCCTGTATATGTTAGCATTTCACCCTAATGATGACTGAAGAAAAGCAGAGGGATATGTATGTCTGCTTCCCTCAAAGGTGGTTAGAAAATCAGTACAAAAACAGCGTGTGCTCCTCAATGAGAGGCCACAGTCAGGATTCATTTTCTCAGCAGTTTGGCGAAAACATCCCCATGGCATTCTATTTCCTTGGAATTTCACCCTTTATTTTGCCTGTTCTTATTCCTTAGCTGACCTAAAGAAATCTTGCCTGTTGCCTTCCAAAAAATGAACAAATACTCATGCATCTTTCTTTGAAGGTGTTCCATCCAGGCTGCCCATAGCTCAAAGAGGAAACATCTGCCTGGGGTGTCTGGAGTCCGCTGTGTTTATCTGATGTCCTACTGTTTCAAACAGATGCCATTTTCCTTAATTGGAGCGATTAGCATAGCTGCTGGTAGACACAGAGGATGTCTGGCCAGGCCAGAATAAACAAGTGGACTCTATGCAAATAGCCCTTGGGAACAATGGCAGGTCTATTGATTGGTTTCCATGGTGCAGGCTCTGAGGCAGTGAAGTACCAGCCATGGATGTTCAGTTTTGTTTTCACTAGTACTAACAGTTTATTCTTTAAAACCGTGGAAATCTCTATTATTGGATGTGAAAATTAAAACCTTATGCCTTTCCCAGTCTAACTCCTGTGGTGCCCTTTGCAAGTGGGAAGATGGATTTACTTTGGGAAAACCCTTAGGTTTAAGAAGAAATAGAAATTAAAAAAAAATTTATTGCCTAGATGTTTCAAGCATTATCTCCTTGCTTAAAAATAATATTTGCTTGTATTTTAGCTATGTGTCTTGTGTGTGCCCGTGACCCTGCTTGAGGGTGCCTGAGGAGGCCTGGAGAGGGCGTCAGTCCCCTGGAGCTGGAGTTACAGGCAGCAGTGGTTTTCTGAGTGTTGGGAACAGAATCCTAGGCCTCTGCAAGAGCAGCAAGCACTCTTAATCACTCAGTTACCTCTGGTCCTCCTCTTCCTTGGTTTTCTGATGAGCTGTCAGTCATTAACTGGCAACCCCAGTCATAGGTGGTTGATTCAACCCATGGCTTTTCAGTATAATTCAGATTCCAAATTAGGTGCTTGCCTGAGAAGTTGTCTGATACTTATTTTAGACTGATGCTTATTTTATATATATATATATACAGAAAGTAGCAATATGAATAGTTTTTGAAAGCCGGAAATGGCAGTGGGACATTTGACTTTTCGTAATATATCTGATTAATGCTTGAGATAGTTCCTTAACTAAATCAATAATAAAACCAGATCGAAGATTAGACCTTTAGGGGATCCAGCCAAATCTTGTCAGTCCTGTGACCACCAACTAACCCATCCCTGCTCTTTTGAAGCCAGTTTTCCTCAACAATAGAACCATGGCCACTACAGAGAAAACTGTAACATCTCAGAGAAGGCCTGCCTCTCAGATCCTCTTCCCACCCCCCAAAAATGTTGTTTACTCAGGGGTAGCATCATTTTGCCTTTGTTTTAATTTTCTGCAGGTTTTGTTAATCATGTCTGTATCACAGCGAACATGGTGAGTTTTCGTCTCTGTGAGTATGCGTCTAACTTGGGAATGTGTTCCTGAGGTCCCTTAGCTGCTGCCTTGGACCCTGGATGTGTCCTCTCACGTGCAGAGCATGGGCAGGAGTCATGGATCTTGATGTCCTTGGAAACTGCTTCTGAGCTGAGGGCAGGAGACTCATTACCCAGCTGGTCGATTTCTGCTTCTCTTATTAGAAGGGGCTAACAGCCTGAAGCATTGCTTCTTGCTCAGCTAAAATCCGGGATAATCTGTCTCAAAAGAGAAAGGCTCATTTGCTGTAGGAGCATAAAAATTGCTGTACTTTGACCCAGTGAATCATGGCTCTCAGCTGCTGGAGAGATACTCTGCTGGCAAGAAATATCAGTGTGATATTGGCATATGGCAAGTGCTGAAAAGATATTTTGCCCGATTTCATGTAGACAAAGGTCCTCCATTTGTAGGGAACGGTATTTTAAAGGTCTGATATCTTAAGACATTAATGTTCGATAATTGAAATGAAAAATGGCCATGTAAATGGGGCAAAAGAGCAAAAGCATGAAGACGCGATTGGAAGGAACCTTTTAAGATGGCTTTCCTAATTCACGTAGTGTCTAAAGGAACTGTCTAAGCTCAAAGCTTCTAACTCCTTTTCTGAGCAGATGATGGTATATGACATCTTTGTATGGGTAGATGAGTGAAACGTGTTATGAGGAAGTCAGTGGTAAATACATTTAAGGGTGGTAAATGTCTCTCTAGAGAGGGTTAGGATTAGTGTTTGAGGACAGAATTTTAATGAGCATTTAAAGACTATACCCGGATGAGGCAGGAAGTTAATGAATCAGGACATTCTTGAGTGAAAATAACACAACGGTTAGTGTTTGTGCTCTTCACTCTCCCTTCCAGAACCGCATCTTGCACACATTACTAATACTGTCAGCCACTAAAAATCACTAAGAAAGGTCCGAAACAGCTTAGTGGTTTTTGAAAGAAGCAACTTTAGAAGTTTTGATTTTGCTCGCTGGCTGGCACATTGTAAGATTTGAAACCAGTTGATTGCTCAAAGAAGACAAGTAAGGGGACATCTGGCTGCCATCTTCCTTTATCGCTTTATCAGTATGTGTAGGGGGCAGATATTTGGGCCCTTTTTGGTGTGCGCATATGTGTATACGCGTGTTTGAGTGTGTAGAAGTGAGAGGTTGACCTGGATGGGTCTCGATTGCTCTCCGTCTTATGTACTGAGGCAGGGTTGCTCGCTTGAACACAGAACTCAGTAATTCAGCTAATTGACCTAACCAGATTGCTCCAGTGATCCAAGCACTGGGGTTTCGAGGCAAGCTACCACACCTGCCCAGCATTTACATTGGTCCTGTGATCCAAACCCTGGTCCTCATGAATGCACTACTGAGCCATCTTCTTAGCCCATACGTGTGCTCTCTAAATAATCTAAATAATCTATTTAACTTACTCTTTACAATTACTATCAATTATGTAAATACTGTTCCTGGCATATAGTAAATAAAACACAAGTTTTAGCAAAGTTATTATCCTCTATGTTTAATAAAGCCAATATCTACTTCAGCTTTTTCCTATGTTCAAGGCATCCATCCACATGGTCCACACATGTTATCATGTCCAATCTCACAGGCCTACTGTGGGCCTTTATACCTTACTTTAATTTACTTACTAAGGAAAAAGCTGAGTCCAGAGCCGGTAAAAGAACCAAGGGATGGAGCCAAAATTTGAACCTAGTCTCACAGAGAACAATGCATAGAGACAAGGTAACCAGTCTGAGACCACATAGGTATTATGTGTCACAACAGAAATGTGAAGGTGGGTTGGTGACTCTATTCAATACACCTATGCTGTTGATGATTCTGTTTAAAAACACATTTACACTCTGACCTCCCATTTTTAGTAAAGAGCTTCTATAACTCTTGAATTTGTCAAGTGGAAAGACATTTTTTCTTAGTTTATAAAAAGCCTCTTTTTATACTGTACCTGAGTATGCTAATGAGGAGACTTAAGGACCCTTTAATAGATTCAGTGTGGGTGTGGTCACTAGAGGAAACCTTCCCATGACTAAAGGGCTAGAACTTCAAAGCCCCCCCCCCTCCCAATCTCTAAGCTCAGTCTACAATGGCCAATCATCATGCCTCTGAAAGGAAACTTGTGTGAGAAGTCTGGAACAGTGGGGCTCAGGAGCTTCTGGGTTCTTCCCACACGGAGACACCTTTGAGAAGAGGGGTTCAGGTGTGGGATTTCTGAACCTTCTCCTCCTGTTCCCCTGTATTTCCTTCCTACATTATTCATGTCTTTCATACATTATTTATTGTAGTGGTATTTTGTTTGTGCTCTAGCAAATAAAGCTTGCCTGGATAACAGAGTGCGGAGCCTGCCATTAGAGGCCAGGCAGTGGTGGCACAAACCTTTAATCCCAGCACTTGGGATCTCATGCCTTGGATCCCAGCACTTGGGAGGAGGAAACAGGAAGTGATATGGCTGGGTGGAGAAAGGAAATGATAAGTGGGGGTGGAGACAGGAGCTTGGCCCTTTCAGTCTGAGGATTCCTAGAGGAAAGAAGTCTTTCTAGTAGCTGGCTGCTCTGCTGCTCTGATCTTTCAGCTTTCACCCCCAATATCCGACTCCAGGTTTATCTGACTCCGAGTTTTTATTATTAAGACCAATTAGATTTCCAAACTACAATTTATTTACATATATTTCCTTAGAGGTTACCTCATTTGGCTCTTCCTCAATTGTATCATTGAAATAAACTGATAGCCATAAGTATAATGCTGTTTTGAGCTTTGTGAATAATTATAGCAAATAATTAAACACAAGAGTGCTTGAGGGAACCCCAAATCTGGTACCTGCAAGTGCTTAAGCTCCCCCCAAAAGTGTCTGTAGGCCAGAGCGCTTTCTTACACTTTTCTCAACTGGAAGCATTCAGTTTTGGCTATGGACAAACCTTGGAACTCTGTGTAGAGCCGAAGAATAATTGTGAGGATAGTCATTATTCTAGGCAGAGGCCATCTGCCTTTAGGACTTACTTGGCCAGGTGGGGCAAGGGACAGGGGCACGGCTGGCAGAGTCGGGGTGCGCCTCTGATGGAGTCCCCAATAAAGCCATCCAGACATTTCTCACAGTGTTCCCCTGTTGTATTCCGCTGGCAGTGCTGTGGGATGGAAAATAGGAACAGTGAGAAGAACGAAGAAATTTCACAGACAGCAAATGTAACACCCTGGCTTACTTCAAACAAAGGGGCATCAGGCCTGCCAGAACCCATGGTGTGCAGCAACATAAAGCGTCCATGTTAGTCCTAGCCGGAGCTAGAAGTGGAGGTGGAGGTGGATGCGTGCATCCTGCTGGTCCGTGTGTGCACTGGCAGGCTGCGGACTCTATTTGGAGTCTGCATGCAGAGGGGACTCATTAGTTACCCATCTTGATTCAGAAGGAAAATTAGAACTACCACACTCTAGGTGTTCTGGATGCTTGAGCTTATTGATGTGGAATGAATATTAAATGAAAACAAATAATAGTCCCATAGTGCTTAACCATGACAGCAGAACCAATAAGGGTTTACGGGCCTGGAAGGGCACATATGTCAGGCTGTGGCGCACATGACGGAGAAGGAAGAGAAAGACTTTTTGCTAATGGTTTGCCATCGTGGTTAACGATACATCAGAAATAGCAGGCAGGTTGATTTGCATAATTTTCCATTTGTGATAAAAGTAACAAATAGGAAGACTGGCATAAACTAGGCTGTTCCTTCTGCCTTGACTGTAGCAGGCTTCAAAATCTCCAGAAGGTTCTTTCCAATTCTCCCCTCACAGTTCTGCCTGCGTTCCACTGCCCACACTGAGCTAACTGTTCCCAGCCTTAGCCCCTCTTCCCTAACACACTGGGTTATTTAGCACTGTATCACAATTAACATGGGTGAGGTAGGTCCTCAGTACAACACAGTAGTCCAACAGGAGGAGTCCTATGTGGGCAACAAGCTATCCTGACTGGACCTTCCTCAAGTATTTAGCCCACTGGTATGGATTAGGTATGGATATGAAGTATAATTATGCAGCAGAAAAGAAATTAGACTCTGTCTTAGACTGTGTGATCAGTGAGAATTCTTAAAAATAAAGTTTGATAGGCAGGCAAGAGTGTGTTGACACAGTTCCCGCACAGTCTTTAAAACTGCGTTATGTGCTCAGCCATCCCACAGGAGATATTTAGGGAAATTAATTAGAAGAGAGAAAACATGCAATGATGAACTAGCAACTTGAGAAAATAAAGGCAATGCACATCCAAAATGAGCCCGAACTCGGGGACAATGCCCTTCTCAGGAAAGACAATGAGCGGTAAACAACGACCATGCACCTGAACCACAAGACATTTGCAAGGATGCTTGTAAACTGGAGGTAGATTTGTTTGAGTCCTTGTTACACAGATGGAACAGGTCTGCCCAGAAGAAAACATTCTGAGATCACAGGCCGTCTCTAATGGCTGACGTGACCATTAAGGTACAAAAACGGGCTGTTTCTCAGTTCTGTCGCTTTGTCACTTGATGGATGCTTTGGATTCCCCTTCAAGGCTTCAGTTCTATTTGTAGAAGCCATGGGTAGCAATGTTCAAGGGCAAAGCGATGCAATCTCTCTCAACCGCTAAAATACCAGAGTGCAAACACAGACTTTTCTCACCTGCCTCTTAGAAACAATTTATTATGACTCCCCCTGGAAGGCATGGATAACAGTGTGAGGGAGGGGGCCTGGTAGAGACAGTGCCGGAGACACTTTTCATTTTCTAACTAGTTCACATGGAACAGTGCCTTGATCTTCTTGTCTTTCCAGTCTCTTTGCACAATGAAGCTTTAGACTAGATGGCCTTCAGGGTTCTTTCTCTGCAAGTCTTTAACCCTGAAACTGCAAAATGCTCCTTCACCTTCATCTGTGGGGGCCCACAAAGGTTTCCTAGTGAGATCTGAGCTTGCTTTACCCAGCAGGGCTACATTAGAGGATTGCTTGACCACGTGTGTGGTGACCACGTGTGTGGTTATCAAGTGATTGGAAAGGGTCTGCACTTGGCTGTGCTGGGGGGAGGTCTTTTGTTCCACCCCTTGGCATTCCTATAAATAGCCTTCTAGAAGAGACAGAAGGGGCCGGTGGATAAGGATCCAGGCCCTCCTGAGGCTATCCTGTGTTTCTATCTGTCTCTCTCCCCCTATCCTTCTATCTAATATCTCTTATTCCCTCACTGCTCAAGAGTACCCTGTCGTAAAATGTGGGAGCCGGTCTCCCAGCTGGGCTCCCACATTCAACACTCTGCCCTTTCCCAAACAGGAAACAAACCTGACGGAAAAAAAAGTTATTGGTGGGGGTGAGGAGGGGTGTCAGAAGCCACAGTTTTGAGAAGCAGGGAGCTACATAAAATGTTGGTATCTCCATTAATTTATAAAAGTATAAAGGGTCCGTGAAGTTCGTGAAGTTTGAGAATGGGATGTGTCCATCAGCACTCCTTCAACTTCAGTGCCTATGTGTCTCTTAATGCACTGGCAAAAGTGCAGATTCTGATGCAGGACCAGTGGGCTGCAACCCGAGAGGCTGCATCCCAATCAAGCCCCTGTGTAACTGCCAGTGCCTGGCTTGGGCTCCACTTAGAGAAGCGAGTGTCTGGAGAGTATTAGCCGCTAATTAGTTACTCTGAATTGAGTCCGAGCCATAGTCTCCAGCAAAAGGCAGTTTATCTTACTGCAACAAAGGAGTGACATAAATAGCTCATAAATTAGAAAATTAATTAAAAGATTTTTTTTCATGGAAGTCATTGTTTTATCATTTCAGTTACTAAAGCATTTATTCAGTTAATAAACCTGGATTAAGCTGATACATGATGGATAAGGAGCTGCAACTGGTATTAAGATGAGGAAGACCCAGTTTCCGTATTTGAGGAACTCATAGGCTCATGAAAGGAACAAAGAATAGCCTTGTGTGCTCCGGGATATGACTGAGGAATGTGAAGGCTTAGTTGAGATGTTGTGACCTCAACCAGGCCTTGAAGCTGTCCTTCAAGAAGTCGCCCATAAAGGGCAAATTTAGGCAGAGTGTCAAAGTGCAGAAGTGGTTTAGGTAGCCGTGTGCTCAGTGTGGTTAAAAGCAGAAGAAACCTTTGCTTTGGAGCATCTTAAAAAGAGGGATCCTTGGGGTTGTGTGTGTGGTCCTAAATTGAGATCGGAGCAGGTCAGAGAAGAGAGGCTGCCACCTAACAGTTTGAGCTGTTGGGAATCTAGGATCAAACTAAATGTTGGGGAAGCATTGGAAGTTGATGAAGACCTTGGGGCTTCTGACAGAATGGTGCTGTCATTAAGTGAGGTGGGGAATGAAGAGGAAGACTAAGTTGTTGCAAGGGCAAGGATGGAAACTGTCCAGAGAATCTTGTATCTGCATTCACCTCCCGCTGTGTTCTGTACTGATGCACAAAGCAGAAGGGGACTCCACCAAGCTATTCATCCTTACCATTCTTTAAATCTTGACATTTTTTGACTTTGTATCCAATGTTGGCTATCATGGAACCAAACTGACAGCTGACTGTTTGCAAAATGCCAGATTTTTTAACATTTGGAATAGACTGAAAAAAATCATCAAAACCGGGGTATAGCAATACGTCATCAATAGTCATTTCATTGCTGTGCTTCTTTAGTGAAATAAAAGTAGTGGATTTTCCCATGGCCCATGACTTATCATCATCTAGTCTTGGGACCGTGGCCACTTTAGCAGTGCCAGGTATGAGTTTGATCTCATGGAGTGGGCCTTAAAGTCAACCAGATGACTTGGTGACTCCCATGACATTCATGCCACCATTACACCAGTGTATCTTGCAGGCACTTTGCTGTTCTAAGCCTCAGGGTTTGTAGCTGGGTCATGTTGATGATTACTTTCTCTTCTGATAGTATGAAAACCGCCTTCAGCACCATGAAAGCTAGTGAACAGGAGTGAAGCTTCTAGTTAGGTACCAGTTCAGTGTCTTCACATTCCATGACATAAGTTATCAATGTCTTCAGCAATAGGGCCTTCTCTCATCAGGTAGTGGAGAGTAACCAATGACCTTAGAAATCACCTGCAAAGTTTAGGGTATGTGTGTGTCTGTCTGTCTTGGGCTAATTTTGATCTTTTATTTGTGTAATTAAATATAATTTGTGTCCTTTTAAAATTTTAATTGGTAAGAATATAAACATGATAACCTGGAAAATAGGTTGTAGGTGATTTTTTTTCTCCTTGAATTTCAAATACACTTATACTTATAGTATGTATGTATATACATATAATACACTTAGTATATATTTATTACTTTCCCCACTGAGCACACTTTTCTTAAATTAGAGGGAAAAACATTCCTCTCTGAATAGAGTATAATGGGGTCACCACCATTAATATGAGAGAGATAGCTATTTCTTCCTGTGGATAGTTTCTATCTTGGAATAAAGTAATTGTAGGAAGATTGACAATTGATGCACATGAGTGTTTAATGTCCTGGTGCACTACCAGAATCGGAGAAGGGACCCTGTGATGATGAATCATCTCAGACGCCCATGTCTAGATCGAAAACTACAACTGTTCCTATTCTGAAAACATCGTCACAGCTGTGGCTTCATGTCGCTCGTGATGGACACTAGCAGAGCGAGCGAGCTTTGCCTCCTCTTTCACGGATTCCACTCACTCATTTTGCCAGTTGTCTGGTGGAAGCTGATGGGCCTAGTGATCCCTTCTGTCTTACAGTTTAATAAATCAGGTAACAAAAAACCTTTAATTAGTCACGTTATCAGTAATGTACATTGTTAGTTCAAGTGTATGCATGGGATTTCCCCCCAAATGTCACTGGGATTAAAATAACAGGAAACCGGAGATGAAAGCATTAAAAAGGGCTAGATGTTGGCAGCTGTGTGTGCCTACAGGGCTGTGGAGGACATCCTGGATGTAATGGTTATTTAAGACTATTGGGGGGGGGGGGACACACAAATACCATGATTAAAAAAAAATACCCAAATGACAAAATAACAAAATTTAGTATTTTGCCAATTAATCCCCTGTCTCTAGAAAAGTGACAACCACTAGGTTCATAATAAATGTTTTCTAATTTGCATCTTAATATGAAATGTGAGTTAAATTGCACCTTTAAGGCACACACCTCAGAGGCCATTTATAATAAAAATTATCCATTCAGTAGGGATAATTAAGTGCTTTTGAGTGTATTTAGGTAAGTTTTGTTGTGGTTTAAATGAAACTGCTCTTGCAGTTTGGGAAGGCCCTTTTTCCACACAGGAATCTGAAGCACAGAACCACCATGTCTTATCGTTGCTGAAGAGGAGCATGGTTAGCCCACACAAACGTCAGTCATGTCGTGGCTTCTACTGGAGCCGCTCTGGTCTGTGCTTCAGCGGCCATTTTTACTAAGTTGTCAATCCAGTCTCGGAAACGTGAGGTGTTCAGCAAAGTCTTTAACTCTGGCAGCCTTCTCTGTCTCCATCCGTATCTGGTTCTCTGAAAAGCTGTCTGCTGGGGAAATCGTCTTAGTGAAGGAGGAAAAAGCTCTGTTTCGGGCTTGAATGCAGAATTATAAAGAGCAGAAGGACTAAAGCATTCATCTTCATCAGCTAGTTGGTTTCAGCAACGCTTAAAAAAATCATTGAGATCCATAGACATGGTTATCTTACATGCTGCAGCAGGCTACGGGACAACGGCTGTACTCTGGTTTACGTGGGATGAAGCCGAACATTTGGCAAACTATACTGTTACAGTGGAATCTGGAGGGTGGGGGTTCTCCTGTGTATTATTTTCAACCCATCACCACTGGTCAACAGCAGGAAGCCAGCTGCCAGGGGAGGGAGGCCAGGACCCTCCTGGAGCATGTATGCACATTCATGCAAAGCCTCAGGGAACACTTGCAATCAGAATGCATTGACACGATATATTTTGTAGGAAAACCTGAAATGTAGAAAAGAGCTTGGTTGGCCGTTTTCCCCTGCATGTCCCCTGACTCACCAGACAGAAGCCAGAGCCATCCAAGCACTCCTGGGAATTGCCGTTACAGTCACAGGGTGAACATTCTCCTGACCACGTGCGAAAGAATCCAGCGTTGCATCTCTGAAACAGACAGTGGCATGCATTTTCATTATTGGAAAGGTATATTCTGGCCAGCATTTTCTGAGCAAAATAATAAGAGGCAATTATTTATTTTTTTTTTTTTTTGATTTTTCGAGACAGGGTTTCTCTGTGTAGTTTTGCGCCTTTCCTGGGACTCACTTGGTAGCCCAGGCTGGCCTCGAACTCACAGAGATCCGCCTGGCTCTGCCTCCCGAGTGCTGGGATTAAAGGCGTGCGCCACCACCGCCCGGCATAAGAGGCAATTATTAAACAAATTTTTTTTTTAACAAAACATGAATGTGTGCTATTTGTATGGCCATTCAGCAACAGAGGTGGCTACACAATCTTATTTGTTGTACAGTTTCTTTTCTTCTTTTGCTCTGAGCAAGAGGAACACTCAACAAGGTTCCATCATTGTAAGGAAGAAGGAGGAGGAGATCTTAGGTAGGAGAGACAGAGAGACAGAGATGGGAGAGAGATGGGGAGACAGAGAGACAGATACAGAGATGGGGGAGGGAGGGAGGGAAAAGAGAGAGAGAGAGAGAGAGAGAGAGAGAGAGAGAGAGAGAGAGAGAGAGAATTTCCCTTTTCTTTTTTTCCAATCCAAGCAACACAAAGCCAAATCAGACCACAGCTAGTTTTTTCTCAAGGTGAGAGAGTTGTGTGACACTCCCTATAATAAGGACCCACAGTTTCAAATGACTGACTATGCCATAATAGCTTAGAGTTGTGCCTTTCATAAATGTGAGCTTTTAAAGAACTCCGTACCAGGGGCTGGAAGGATTGCTCAGTGGGTAAAAATGCTTTCCACGAAAGCCTGGTGATCTGAGTTGGATCCCCAGAACTCACAACCCAGGTAAAGGAGGAAGAAAAAGACTAACTCCACAAAACTGTCGCCCGACCTCCACCACAAACATACATATACAATTAAACAAAAACAAAAAAAGAAAAAAGAAAAGAAAAGAAACACTCAGCACAAACAAACAAAATCCCCTCTATGTTTTTAGACTGCAATGTTGCAGAGGTCCTGGTTGGGAAGTGAATGAGATCCTATACTAGTCCAAGCCTGTGTGGTCCTGATCACGAACTTCACTGATTTTCGTAATTTGTGAGAACATATTATTTTTCTTCATTTGGGTGACAAACCACAGAGAAGCCAAGTGGCTTGTGGGATTGTGTACCCGTTGACCTGTACACTAATGAGTCACTCTCCCGTCACCTCCCTTCCCTGTGCCACCAGAGCCTCCAGTGGGAAAATATTATTGAGACTGCTCTCTTTCTATGTGACTGGACTTACAGATATGTATTTCATGATTTACTGAGACGTCTCAGTGGTGCTGGGAAAATCGGTATCACAGACAGATAAGAATCTAGATTGTTTCCATAGACTTACAAAGAACATTTCACATCACACCCCACACTGACCCAATATAGTTTGAACTGTCTTGGATACCAGGACGGTTTTCACTGTATATTTCTTGAGTCCCTCTGACTCTTACGTGAATCCATCCCCCCTTGTTTCTTTTCTCTGCAAAGAAACACAGTAATTCACAGTATAAAAGCACCAATCTGGACCCTAAAACTACAGAGAAACAAGTATTTTATTGCCTAAAAACCAGCAATCTGGATCCTAAAACTGAAAATTAATATTCATTTGAAGAAAGTACAAAAGGTAATAATGACATCTGTTCATGATGTAAAGTCAAAGAAATTTCACCCAAATGAGAGAATGGCAGTCTGGGAGTAGACAGTCTGTAGTAGACAGTAAGCCTTTTCCTCAGTTTCTCCAAACCAAGAGGGAAGAAAAGAGAAAGACACTAAAATTGCCACCGGAAGGGCTTAACTAGAACATTTGATTTCACATGCTTTTTGTTTGCTTGTTTTGTGTTTCCTCAAGTTAAGACATACATGTTTTTACTATGGTGCAGTATACAGGCAGGTGTATCTAACTGCAATGTTCATAATTCATCTCTTGAATGCTATTGGTAGAGATCAGGCGATAGATTCAGCTCTATATACACAGCGTCTCCCTCAGCAAAGACAATCACATGACAGTAAGATCCCTATGTGTGCCTTAAAGTTCTCAGCTTTATTTAAGGTGAATTCTGCTTATGACTAATAAAAATGGATTTGATGGGCCACAATGTGCAGCATTTTGCAATTTTCGGGGTCTTAGTTATACGAGAAAGGGCTGACAGTAGTGAAGATCTGGATGTAAATTAGCCTGGTAGTTTCCAAACAGTGGCTCCTGGGTCTGTAGCTGAGCATATTACAGTCATTTGGGGACCTTCAGCTCTTCTGACGTCAAAGCCAAAGGATCCATTTTTTATTAATAAACACATTTGCATTTTAAAATAATTTCAGATTTAGAGAAAAATAGCAGAGCTGCTTTAAAAAAAAAAAAAAAGCTCTTCCTCCAACGATTCTGGGTTTGAACCAAGATCATGAATGGCCCCTTATTTACATTAATTGCTCAGTCAACATGTGGTGATTTGAATGGTTTAGAGACCCATAGCACAGCTGGGGCATATGGGCTTCTGGAAACTCAGTGGCATACACTCCTAACCCACACTTCACCCTCTCCTAGGGCTGAATTGGTCTTTCTCAATAGTCCAGCAGACAGGACTGTGTGATGGATGAAATCACCTTGTGCCAAGGTTAGGGGGAGGGTTGAGTCTGAGAGTTTATCTATTCCCCAGGCTGAGCTGTGACCAGGGGCAGAGGATGATTTGTCTTTAAGATTACACCATGAGAGATAGGAAGACAGGAGGCAGTGATTGGGCTGTGCTGAGCCCGCCTCTGGCTTCTTGCCGACAGGGTAAGGGAAACCTGGTGAATTCCTTTCCTATTGACTCTGTCCATCCAAAAGAATTATGTGTTAAAATCCTGTATCCAGATGGGAGGCACTTTTAAAACACCAAACAAATGCAACATATAGGTGACTGTAAGTCCTGGGCATGTGGAGATTCTGATGCCATCATTTGGATGGGGTATCTTGGCCCTTGTGTTATAGAGTTTCAGAGATTCCCTGGAACAGAGTTAAGTGTTTTGAGAGAAGTTAAATTATTCCAAAGGAAGTCAAGTTTAAGACTATTTCTTTACATGAAAATATTCTACCATGGTTTACAAGAAAGTCCAAGATCTCTTTATTAAGTTTCTTCTTGAAAGTATGGAGGAACTGACAAAAACATACCCTTTACCATTAAAATACAGACATGTTCAAGAATGAAAGCAGAACTGTATTTCTCAATGTTGCTCCTGAGTAATAATTCTTATCCACTGTGCCATGGGCAGGCCTATTGAAAGATAATGGCCTTCCTTGTAAATTAATTCATGTCTGTCAGTTTTCTTTCTAGATGGTGTTTTGTATGATTTCAATTTCTTAACAATTAAAAAAAATAAATTTTGAATGTCTTGCCTTCATGTACGTATGTGCACCACATGTGTACCCATTGCCCTCAAAGGTCAAAAGGGGTGTCAGATCCCCTGGCACTGGAGTTACAGATAGTTACAAGGCACCATGTGGGTGCTAGGTACTGAACTGGGGTCCTCTGAAAGAGCAACCAGTGCTTATAAATCCTGAGCTATCCATTCCTCCATCCCCTGTGAATGCTTTTAGATGCCACATTCTGCTATGGGATATTCTTCTGTATGCTGTGAATATGCGTTGCTCCCATTGGCTAATAAATAAGCTGCTCTGGCCTGCTGTGGGATGGTCTATATGCTCTGATTGGTCAATAAATAAAACACTGATTGGCCAGTGGCCAGGCAGGAAGTAGGTGGGACAAGGAGAGAGGAGAATTCTGGGAAGCAGAAGGCTGAGGCAGAGAGACACTGCAGTCGCCGCCATGACCAGCAGCATGTGAAGACGCCGG